TCAAAATAGGGACTTGAAACTCAAGTCTTTTTTTCTTTTCAGCAAAGTGCCATTGAAAGGTGAGAGCTTAAAGGAGTCCTGTCCACCTCGGGTGATTAGACTAAATGCTATATGTGCGGTTTTATTTCATATTTATTTGATTTTATTTTGCAGTCAAACATCTACAAATGTAGTTTTAAATCCATAATTTGTTAAATAGGTTAATTTAGCAGATTTAACCATCACATATTAGTTTAGTTTGCATTTAGTATATTTATTGATAAATAAAAGAAAATGTATTAACTACTGTTCAAATGTTAGCGACTAAGATATTTCTTTTAAAAAGGATTTAATACTTTTATTCAGCAAGGATGCAATAGAACTGAAAAATATAAAAAAAAAAATATTAAGCCATGTTTTCAACATTGATAATAATGAGAAATGTTTCTTGAGCAGCAAATCAACAAATTAGAATGATTGCTGAAGGATCATTTAAAGACTGGAGTAATGATGCTAATATTTCAGCTTTGCCATCAATTACTTTTAAAAATGTAATAAAATAGAAAACATTGTCAAAATTGTCATAAAAATGATTGATTAAATAAATGCAGCAATTATGAACATAAGATAATTATTATTAAAGCTACACTGTGTGATTTTTACCCCCATCTAGCGGTGAAAAGGTACAGTATATGACCATCCAGTGAATATTAGTTTCTGTTCCTCTCAATTCCGATTTCGTTTTAACTCCTACGGTGGCCAATGTAGTCCAAGATTAACATGGCTTCCAGTTCGACCTCGTCCATGATTGTTAAACGTAAACGCGAAAGGCGAAGCTTGAATTAACGGGTATTAACTCTTTGGCTAATGTACTTTCAAGATGGAGGGGCAACATGGCGACTGACATTAGAACCCCTTACCCGTATGTATTTTCAATGGCATAATATACACTCATGAGAATACTTTATTACTTGAAAAAGTAAATATCCGTTAATGAGTAGCACATATATTTTTGAAAGAACTAAGTATTTTTAGCTAAGAATAAACGAGTTACACAGTGTAGCTTTAAAAAAAAACACACAGTGACCACAGTTACAACATCTACCAACAGGGGGCTAATAGTGTCATAGGTCCCAACTATGCAGAAATTCTTAAAATTCTATTCTTAAAAAGGCTTTCAGGAAAGCATATACAGTACAAACGACAAAATCTACAAATTTAAAGCTGTATAATTTAAAGTTACAAAACTGTATTTGTCGTTACTTTTTTTGTCTTATCCTGAATCACTATGGTACACCTCCACTAAGTGTTTATATTTAGACTATTGTTGACTGGTTTGGGTCGGTACTACTCCGAGTAGCCCTGTACCTGTGTGACTTGTCATAGCCATAAACAGAGAGAAGTAACTCCGGCTACAACACATGCAGTTTTCTTTGTTAACTGTTGGAGCGGCAAAATTTACACAGTGTACCTTTAAGATCTGTTAAACCATTTAAAGCACTAGTCTCAAACTCAGTTCCTGGAGGGCCACAGCTCTACACAGTTTTGCTCCATCCATAATTAAACTGTCATATGGCTTGGCTGATGAACCCAATAGCAGACAGCAGATGATGTGCAAAGGGTTTATTTGTGACAAACAGGAAAAATAAAACCCACGAGGGGGACAAAACAAGGCAGGGTAGAACACACCAGACTAAGACTTGAAACTAAGACAGGAACAAAACTACAACATGAACAGACTCTTCTCAAATAACAGCTTACTCAAAGAATTACTTACAGCTTGAAACATGCAACGTCAAACAATGAACCGACACAGGACAGCAAACACAAGGGGATAAAATAGGGAACACTAATGACGAGGACAGGTGAAGCTGACTAGACAATGAAGCACTAGACGAGGATAACAAGGGGGCGGGGTAACTTAACGAGACAACACAAGCACATGGCCCAAACAGGCCATGCGCTTGCACACAAAACATGATTCTGTCATGATCCTGCCTCACGACTAGAGGAATTCAAGGACAAGAAGGCAGAATCATGACAGAACCCCCACCTTAAGGAGCGGCTTCCAGACGCTCCTCAAGGGGACATTAAACACGGGACATGACAGACTGTGACAAAGACACAAACCAACAGTACATGGCAAAAACTAACAAGGGCATACAAGAATACACAATGACAGGGTTGGGGTGGAATATCAAAAAGAACATACAATGCAGAGGAGGTGGAGGAAACACAGAGTCTTTGCTTGACAGTCCAGGGTGGGTGGGCGGGACAGGGGTCCTGGGACCACGGGGAGTGGGCTTAGGACAAGAGGACCGAGCAGGCTTGGGAGGAGAGTTGTGGGACAAGGGAAAAACAGTCCGGGGTTGAGCCATGACAGGGGAAACAAACGGAAGTCCAGGAACAGTGGGGACAGGGACAAATGGGGAAACAGACCGGGAATTAGAGGAGCCAGGGGAGACCAGAGCAGACGGGGATGCAGTCTTAGTGGCAGCTGGCCTGGGATCAGCATCTAAGTCAGCTGGCTTAGGACCAGCGCTCACTGCAGTAGGACTGCGATCACGACTCTCACTAGATGACTTGAGAACGGTGCTCTGTGCAACAGGCTTGGGATCAGTGAAGACAGCAGCTGGCTTGAGATCTGTGCTCGGTGTAGCAGACTTGGGATCAGTGAAGACTGCAGCTGGCTTGGGATCTGTGCTCGGTGTAGCAGACTTGGGATCAGTGAAGACAGCAGCTGGCTTGGGATCTGTGCTCGTTGTAGCAGACTTGGGATCAGCGAAGACTGCAGCTGGCTTGGGATCTGTGCTCTGTATAGCAGACTTGGGATCAGCGCTGACAGTTTCTGGACTGGGATCGGCGCTCTCTGGAGCATTTGAAACAGGGACTGAGGACGAGACAGGACTGACTGGGACATCAAGAATTCTGGCCAGACGGGATAAATACTCGGACAGGGTTCTGGCAGCGATGATGACTGGCATCTCCTGATGAGCCGAAACGGACTGTACCACCGCCCTTGCAGCGGAATCGACTGCTGCTCTCTCTTCTGCAGACATGGCAGAAGACTCAGAGACGACATTCACAGTACAAGTCTCTGGAATGGATCTCCCCAACGCCGACTGGGAAAAGGCGCTTTCTGCAGCAGGTTGTAGAAAGGCATCTCCTGTTGCAACAACCGGAGCCACGCTTACAGCAGCGGGACAGGGAACAGCGCTTCCGACTTCAGCGGCGGGTTGGAGAGCCATCACGGGCTCAGGAGGGGGTAGAGACGGAGAACCAGAAGGTCCTTTCCTCCTCTTCTTCCTCCTGGGTCGTGGGGCGGAGTAGGTAGCCAGACTAGTGACCGGAGAGGGGGGTGAAACAGAAACTGTTACCGGAACAGGTGAGCTCACTGCAGGCGAGGAGGATTCCGGGCAGGAAGACTCTGATGCTGACTCCCATGACGGGTGCCTTCCACGCTTACCATGAAGACCGATGGACGTGGAAGGTGTCTCAGGAGTCGCGGCAAGACTGGGTTGGTCCCCAAGTGTAGCAACGGCTAACAGACGACCCTCAGGAATCACAGGAAGTGTAGCGGAAGATGAAGACCTTGTAGCGCCCTGCAGCTCCCTCTGTGACAGACTGTCCACCATCTTGTGGAACGGGCGGCTGACCAGTCTCTCACGTTCAGCTAGAGGAGGATGGACGTTAAGACCCGCGATGAAGTAGCGATTGACCAGAATCTCCGGCAAGAAAAACCTCCTCTTCTCCACGACCTGGGCGTACTTCCTCAGGGTCAACTCTCCCTGAGGAGGGAAAGGAAGCTTGCCTTCCAGGCTGTCGGTGATGGCCGACTGCCACCATTGTTCGGGGTCTGACGGCTGCAGAGTAGGATAAATAGGCTTGCTGTCTGCTGGGTTTCTTAGTGGTCGGTTCATTCTGTCATATGGCTTGGCTGATGAACCCAATAGCAGACAGCAGATGATGTGCAAAGGGTTTATTTGTGACAAACAGGAAAAATAAAACCCACGAGGGGGACAAAACAAGGCAGGGTAGAACACACCAGACTAAGACTTGAAACTAAGACAGGAACAAAACTACAACATGAACAGACTCTTCTCAAATAACAGCTTACTCAAAGAATTACTTACAGCTTGAAACATGCAACGTCAAACAATGAACCGACACAGGACAGCAAACACAAGGGGATAAAATAGGGAACACTAATGACGAGGACAGGTGAAGCTGACTAGACAATGAAGCACTAGACGAGGATAACAAGGGGGCGGGGTAACTTAACGAGACAACACAAGCACATGGCCCAAACAGGCCATGCGCTTGCACACAAAACATGATTCTGTCATGATCCTGCCTCACGACTAGAGGAATTCAAGGACAAGAAGGCAGAATCATGACATAAACACATCTGATCCAGCTAATCAAGGTCTTCTGGATTACTAGAAGCTTCCAAGCAGGTATTAGTTGGAGCTAAACACTGCAGGGCTGTGGCCCTCCAGGAACTGAGTTTGAGACCACTGATTTAACGTTTTTTTTTTTTTTAAATTCAATTCATTTCATAAAGCTGGTTTAATTGAAGTGTGATATAAACCAGGACACAAACTGTTTTTTTATCTGGAGACATGAATCTCTAACTACACCCAACCATGTAGCTATTAAGATAATAATATGAACACTAAATGTACATACTGTAATAGTTACAGTATTTCCGCCCGTTCTCATCCCAAGGCGTCATATACTGATGCTTTTGACAATGCATATTCATCCAAGGCACATAGCACCCTTTAGCGTCAATGTATGGGCCAGAAGGCGCCTCCTAGTGGTCTAACCCTAACCCTACCCCAGACCTAAACCTACCCATAACCGAAGCGTGTTATATTGACGCTAAAGGGTGCCATGTGTGTTGGATGTATAAGCATTGTCAAAAGCGTCACTATATGATGCCCTTGGGTGAGAATGCGTTGGTGATTTAGGCACAGTAATGAATTTGTCCTTCTGCCTTCTCTTATTTTTCATTGCAGAGACAAGTTTCTTGTTGGGGAATGCTCAAATCGTAGAGTGGCCTATAGTTTACAGTAATGACGGATTCTGCAAGCTCTCTGGTTACCACAGGGCAGAGGTCATGCAGAAGAGTAGCACTTGCAGGTGAGTTCTTCTCCCAGCTGTGTACTTTTAACCTGTCTTTATTCTTCAGTCATGGACAGACAGTGACAGATAAATGTATATTCGCAAGGCATGCAGGATTCAAAAACTCATTAGTGTTTTTACAAAATGACATCATTTTGAATATGGAAAGGAAGCCTCACACACTTTTCCATTATGCCTGGATACCTGAAGCTAAATCTATTAAACTGATGGAGTGCAGAATGTGAAGTAGTGGAAAGACAAGAAGGACAGAGTTTGATTGTTTTGTTTTGTTGATTTATTTCTCAAGTGTGTACTAACCTCTCTATTCCTGTCAGTTTCACTCATCACAGGAGTGAGGATGTTACTCGAATTATTTGGTGAAATGTTAGACCCAGAAGTGTCATTTTCTCACTCTGCTTGAGTTAGCAATGCTGCTACAGCATACTTCTCTCATCAGTTCAGCTCCGTTAAGCCATAGTAAAATCTGCTTGCGCCATTTAGCCACTCAGAACGCGGATTTCTCCTGAGCCATCACTGAACACCTTGTTAGCGCTATATAAGCTCAGTAAGGTGCCAATCATCGGAGCAGAAATAGAAATACCAACTACAGTGATTTGGCTCTGCCTACATGCAGTGATATGGATCTGCCTACAGACTGTTATATGACTCCAGATTTACTCAAGGATTCAAGGGGAATTTTTGAGGTAAAATTGGCACAAGCCTTTGCTAGCTAAAGCAATAAGGGTGAAGATTTGATACTAAAAATCTTTGAGTAGCTTATAGCCACAAAACTCAAATGCTCCATAAATCTCTGTATTTTTGGTTTTATGGAAGCTGAAGTGATAATAAGATCCAAAGCAAATCTATTAAAGGAAATTTGCATGCTAAGGAAGTTGCAAAGTATTTCAGTAGTAATTTGTTAAAATCACTAATTTTGGTAAAACAAATGTGAGTTTAATGTTTTATCTGTAATATATAATATCATGAAAATCATCCACCCCACATTCTCACATCTTCAGCTTTACCAATGTCTATTGAACCTAAATGTCAGTCTATTTTTTTGTAAATGTAAATATGGTAACACTTTACAATAAGGTTCATCAGTTAACTACATTAGTTAACATTAACTAAGAATGAACAATACTTCTATAGCATTTGTTAATCTTTGTTAATGTTAATTTCAACATTTACTAATAATTTATTAAAATCTTGTTAACATTTTTTCATGCACTGTGAACTAACATGAACAAACAATGAACAGCTGGATTTGTATTAACTAACGATAAAAAAGATTAACAAAAACAGTAACACATGTATTGCTCATGGTTAGTTCATGTTAGTTAATACATTAACTAATGTTTAATAAATGAACCTTATTGTGAAGTGTTACCGTAAATATTTAGTCAAATGATAATTTAAGTAATTTGATCTATGTCTGTCTCATTTGTTATCATTAAATTGTATTATCCCAAAGTCTGAAACTACTTGTGATGCAGTTGGAATGTGATGCAATTTATTTTGTTGTTAAAATTATACAATCATATAAATTTCAATGAAAAGTGAATTTCCTGAAATCAATCTTATTTTTCCCAGGCTAAAATCATATTTTGAATGCTAGATTTTCAAAAAATGATTTGATGATGTCTTTTAAACTATACTGTTCACAGACACCTTATTTGCAAAATTTGGAAGGACTTTAAACCCATAAACCCATACCTTGCTTTTGCTGCTGTTTGAAACTTGTCTGAACAAGGGCTTCGTATCTACTGTTTGACCAGCCTCCATAAGTTAAATAGAGCGGCTGCAGTAACTGACAGCCCGTGTCATCAGCCACTCCCCTTGTGCAAACTCTGTGAATTAATTGATAGTGAAAGACAAGGTAGAGTTTGTCAAGCGGATGTGTGTGCCACACAGGTGTGTGCGCTCCCCTAACTCTCTTTGTCTTGCTCATTTTCATCACCTGCTTCTCCCTTTCCCACCCACTTCTCCCACTCTCACACCCTTTTTTTGACTTGTACTCTTATGCCTCTCTGTCTCTCCCGGCAGTTTCATGTACGGCGAGCTGACAGACAAGAAGACAATAGACAAAGTCAGACAGACCTTCGATAACTATGAATCCAATTGCTTTGAAGTGCTGCTATATAAGAAGAACAGTGAGTATTCCTACCTATGATTGTTTAGCTATCCTTGCTGCATCTAGCAGAAGATTGAAAGTGCAGAGATGCAATTGTGCTCTATATAAGAAGCTGAATTGCAGAAATGAATGAAAATGACTTGAGAAAATGGCTTAAGACAAAGTTTATAAATATGGAGGTGGTCTAATTTCTGTTGCACCGAAACTGTGGCATGATCCACATGAATGTGAAAGAAAATCGAACTCGGGTGCACACTTCTTCATTAGCCTATGACATCGGTGTGCCTGGTCTCCTTTCCTATCACAGCGTTTACATTTTCAATGGAGGGACAGAAAGCCAAGTAATTTATAATCATGACTGATTATCGTCTACTAAAATCTCAACATATTTGCTGAGTTATTTGGCCATTTACACCTTGAGGCATCTTGCATTGTGGGCACAATTGCATCCTCTCTGCACTTGAATTTCTGTAATGCAGTTACCATGAAGATATATCTCCTCATGTTGCCTCTGAAAGATAAAGCTGCCCTGTTAAGCTTAAATGTAATGACCCATTAGGCACACGAGTTACAAAGTATATTTCTCATATGGGTGAACTGAGGGCCTTGGTCTCAATGATCTTCGTGTTCTTTTTTTTCCCCCTCAAATCTTTCTCCTGCAATCTTTATTCGCCACCATAATCTCATCATTTATCCCTCTTGTTCCCTTCTTTTGACCTCTCTGTCACTTTCACTTTTCCTCACTATTCTCATCATTTTCATCATGTCTTTTATCTTCTTGGTCATGACTTCTTTTAAACCCTCTATTTGCTTCTTACCACTTCTCACCCTTTTCTTTCATTTCATCCTGCTTTCCCTCTTCTCTCATTGTGCTCATCTGGTGCTGTCAGGAACCCCTGTGTGGCTCTACATGCAGGTGGCCCCCATCAGGAATGAGAACGATAAGGTGGTCCTGTTCCTCTGCACTTTTAAGGATATCACTGTCTTCAAGCAGCCTATTGAAGATGAGACCACCAGAGGTAAGGACTCTAAACCTCATCTTAATTATAGAATTTTGCTGTATTTTTTTTTTTTTTTTGTAGAAATTGCATCAGCACACTAAAAACCTGATTTGATGCATCATGTTTCATTTTTTTTTTCGTACTTGAATTCGACTTTTTTCTTGAACGAAGTGATGCAACTCATTTATGTCAAATGGTTGCATAAATGCAGTCTGGATGATTAATGATGTTTTAGTAGACTACATTTTAAATGTCAACATTCTTTCAAAATGACCAGTTTGTGAGAATCAGAATCAGAATCAATATATGAATAAAATAACCAATATAAACAAAAATATTCATTGAAGGAGTGTGTGTAAGGCTGGGCAAGGCTTTAGGTGCATCAATCTGATCCCTAGCTTTCCTAGGCTGTGAATCGGTATATTGTGTACATTAATTTGAGCTCTGGTAAGGACCCTGGTTCACTACACATTGGGACACTAATGACTCTAATTCCAGTGACATGAAAAAACATCCTTATTCTACAACATCACAACTGGTATACATATGAACGTAAATGATATTTTAATGTTATTTAAAGTATATTATGATGATGTTAGCTATAGTATGTTAGCTACATTATGTTCAATTACCTGTCTAGCGATTAATGTTAATGCTAAAATGCAATTTTATGCTATTTTAAAATAATTTTTTCGAGTGTCATTATGAATAGTAATTGGCGCACATGATTTATTTTTCACGCTTCAGAACTTCTGTTTAAGGGAACATGTGAGCATTATTGCTTTGTGGTTTTCATGGTGCATTGTGGGACTTTTTTAGATGTTTTAGTGCACTGGGAAGATTTTGCGATTAAGAAGACAGCCCTTAAATAGGCCCTGACAAGCCCTTAATCAGTGCCCTGACTACTGAACTAGGGAGCTGATTGAGACACACCCTTAGTCTTCCCCTGACAACGGACTTGAGACTAGCATGGAATTTTCTCACTCAAACCACTGCCTGCTGTTGCTTCTGATTGCTTTTAGAGGGAAAAGCTGCTCATAACTGCTGGTCTAAGATCAGTATTCAGCATAGCACTTGTTACAAACCCTTTGAGTCTATGGAGAATAAGGCGGCTGAGCTTGTACTGAAAAAATCTCACGCAAACCAGTCAATTTTAAGTATGATGAGGATTAGTGAGAAGCAAGATGTAAAGAGTACCTCAAGATAATTATTTAAATAAACATACAATAATTTTACAAATCATAACCAAAGGAAAGCTTCACAAAAGAGTTAAAGAGAAAAGACAGTGTCAAATCAAAGAAAGAAAGAAAACCAAAACCAATCTTACTAATTATAAACAAAACATTAATCAAAAACAAAAAAGATCTTCGGCGTCAAGAAGGCCCTATATAAACTACTCTTGCTACAAAATGAAAAATACAAAGAATGGCATGTGTCGCTAAACTAGTGTTCAATACACAACTGACAACTCAGTGTAGCACATAGGCTATATCATGTGAAATCTCTTCCCCGTTTAACAACAGGTCTAACAACCAGAAAAATACTCAGAGAAAAGATCTACAAACGAACACTGCGAACAGTACAGGACAAAAATGCATCACAAACAAATCAAGTCATATGTTTGTATTTACAATGTAGACAGCTCTATTGATTATAAGGGAACTTCATGGGTAAATGGCTAAAATGTCAACTAAAACTTGACCAGCAGCCACGTACACTCTGCAAAATTTTGGGAGTGACATTTGCTTAATTCATGTATATTCATGGAATTGTCTAATTTGATTGGGTGGATCAGACTGTCAAACTTAGTGTGCCAGTGCCACCCTGGTTCTTATATAACTTCTCCACTGGTTGGATTTACTGTGTGGAGCCTGCTTGGCACAATAGTGCATGGTAGTTTAATGAGATTGACAAGCTGTCACTTTAGGTTGGAGAGTGCTGCTTATGGGCAGAACTGCAGTCAGCCGTGGTGGAGCATTACTTGTATATATGTGCATTTATGATTGATGGGCATTGTCAGATTTCACTTTTTCCTTCATTTACTCTCTCTTTCTGCTTTTCTCTCTCTCTCTCGATCTCTTATAAACCAGTGGCTATTTTCCTTGTCAGCTTGTGCCACTGCTGAACTTAAGCACTTGTCCTTTGACAGTGATCATAGCCCACACAGGAGCTCTTTAAAGACACACCGACACGTGCACCTGTGCCCAACTGAGTCTCTTGTCAGTGGGTGTATACAGAGTGACATTAAAGTTCAGTGAATATCAGTCAGATGGATAGCCCATCAGATGTATACACCCTCCAATGCACATGTAGGTGCAATTAAACCTCTTTGCAGTTATTGACATCTGTGATAGGCAGCATGTAGTCGCAGTCTAGCTATAGTGCTTGCATCACAATATACCTGCTTTGGCAATTGCAGTCACATGATATATGAAAATCAAATGCCAAGACAGTAATTTCAGTATGACTGTGGGCTCAACCAATTACTGCATACCTCCAAGTTTTTTTTTTAACCAAAAACACTACATGCCTGGCCATATGTATCCATATGACTTTTATTAAAGGGGTGGTTGATTGCGATTTAAATTTTTTCATTTTAAATAGTGTGTAATGTTGCTGTTGGTGCTTGAACATCTGCAAAGTTGCTGAAAGTTCAATGTAAGCAGAGACATCGTCTTTTAAAAATCTGAAAGTTTAATGCCTACAAAAACGACTCGAACGGGACTACAGCAAGATTCTTCCCGGGTTTTATATGTAACTAACCCATAAATTTACATCAACCCTCCCTCCGGAATATGCAAAAAATGGCCATGGCCAGATTTCTGTGGTTTTGTCGAAGAGGAAGAGTTATAGTGAAGAGCTGTAGCCATCCCGTCGAAAGTGTGTTATTTTCACCCAGTTGTCAGGTCTTCTGTGTTCGAGCTTCCTGGACACTGTAGTTTGTCAACAATGGCTAAAATTTCTGTTTGATTATGTTCCTGAAAATTACAATTATAATTTAGCTCTCTGTGCTGCGCATTTCACGAAAAACAGCTTCCAGAATCTCTACGAATTCAATGCCGGATTCAACAAGAAACTGTTACTAAAACATGAAGCAGTTCCAACTTTAAAACCAGTGGCAGCAGTTGTTGGGCCACAACCTTTAAGTAAGACTTAATCATTTTAAATTTATTTGCATGTATAATTTTAGACATAATGTTTTAGTTTTATCAAGGACGTAAACAAATGCCTGCGCTGGCTTTAGTAACCACTTAGTTATGCTATTTCGTGTCTATGACAAAAGCGTACAAACATTTTGGACCTGAATTTGTAATTATGTACTAATTTTGTAAATGTATGTTCCATGTATACTTTATAACGTAATTTTTCGATTTGATCAAGAACGTAAACCAGTGCCAACGCTGTTTATTTATAGTAGCTAGTTAGATCGATGTGTAAAAGACAAACGTGTATAAAGTTAAACAAATGATATGTAATCGCAACAGCAATCTTCAGCTGCTGTTATCAGTGTACAGTATGAGTTTAACACAGTTACCACATGTAAACCTAAAGAAAACGATACACTAAGTAAATTAAGTTCCCTTTCGTAGTCACTTCGAGTTACGTCAGAAGTGACGGAGATTGGGGGTTTCGCAATCTCCGTCACTTCTGACGTAACGTCTCCGTTCCCTACTCAGGGAACGAGGGTTACATCCGTAACCGAGACGTTTTGTGAATATATAAACGGTTGTTCATTATATCGATAAAATAATAACTTTAATTAACAGTATCACTAAGTTATTTATTCAGTTATATTAAATGTTTAATCAGGAGAAAACCGTATCTCAAAAGCTAACAAGCATCAGTAGCATTTTCAAGTAACAGCGTATCGAAATTCTAATAGAATAGAATAGAATAGAATTGAATTGAATAGAATAATAATATCGCATTTTCCGCACTATAAGGCACTAAAAGCCTTTAATTTTCTCAAAAAACGACAGTGCGCCTTATAATCCGGAGCACCTTATTAATGGATCAATTATTGGTTAATTGGATAAATTGGTAATAACGCTCTGCATTATTAAATTCACCGGCAAACTCGCGCTCGTGTCCATCTTATGCCGGCTCTGTCACACGGCCAGGTCATTCATTGAAGGTGTGCCTTATAATCCGGTGCGCCTTATAGTGCTGAAAATACGTTAATTAAAAAAATGTACCATTCAGAAATGTTTTATAAGAGCCGTGTTTGGGGGGGTTCTGCCTGACTCCCTTCATCACCCGTTTCTGGGTCTGATTCTGGAACTGATACTGCAGTGTCGACACCATTATTTACATTTGACCGGAGGCAGAGCCCATGCTAAACATTCTAAGGTAATGGACGTGAAGTTTCTGGACAACGTGCACTACGCAGTTTAGCTATCAACACACCGGCCCAACTAACCAATCTGAGCCCATTGCCTGTTTCTGAAGGAGGGGTTTCACAGAATCAGGAACTCAACCGGTCGTTCAAATGAGAAAGCGGCTTACAATAAAGATGAAATTTATGAAAAAAAAAAAAAAAAAAAACACGGACATGTTATATTGCACCCCGTAAACACAATCATGCAAAGAAAAAAAGCAGTAAACAACCCCTTTAAATATTTATGAATATAGAAAAGTATGCACCAGAGGTGACTGCACTAACATTCCTTTGACATAGAAGCACCTCTATTGTGGCCGTGTCCAGAATATGAGCTGCTTATCTCCACACCAAACCACAAACTTTATTTAAGCATCTATCAGGTATTCAAATCACCCACAGTGATTACTTTGTAAATGAAGGACTCTTTGCCCTTATCAAAATGTTAATCTATGCCGCTCCTGACCCTTGATGCACTAATAAATATTAACAGCACAATCAGATTATTCATAGCCTGGCACGTCTCTTGAGCTTGTTGTTTGGTAAATATGAGATCTGTTGTTCTAAAGGGGCATTTGTTAAACGTCACACTCCAGGTGTGTATTCAGTATTGCTTCATGAATAGCTCATGTGCACGTACTGATGAGAAGAGAGTGCAGTAGGTATACTAAGCCAAAAAATCAACAAAATCCACCAAGTCAGTATATTAGAATGATTTCTAAAGGATCATGTGACACTGAAGACTGGAGTAATGGTGCTGAAAATTCAGCTTTGCCATCACAGCCATAAATCTCCTGTTAAAATATATCAAATATTGTAAAGAGTTATTTTAAATTGCAAAAAATATTTCCCAATATTACTGCTTCTGCTATATCAAAAAATTCAACTTGGGTGAGCAAAAGAGACTTCCTTCAAGAACATTACAAATCTTACAACCCCACACTTTTGAACTGTAGTATAATATACACATTATCACCTTCAACATTATTATATTCTATAATATCAGATTATTAATGTTTGTTTATGTTACTAATTAAAAATAATTGAACTAAAATGAGGTTGAAGCGAATTGTTCCATTAAGCCAGATTTGGCCCTCCTCTGTTGTTTTTAAGGTAAAGAATTACACGCTTTTTTCATACTGCATAGTTAGTGAAGCTTTTAGTTTTATTTGCATCACAGGAAGTAATTTGTAATTAGTTGTATAACAGAGATCTTCGAGAGCTTCATACCATGTGACTGTACCACCCCTGGGGAGAGGATAGAGCTAAAAGCAGGAGTACTGTATGTGTTCATGTATGTGTCCATAACTGCTGGGCTCAAAATCCCATTGGAATCGTGTTCCTGTCTGTAAGGCTCTGCTCTGCACTGGTGGTCCAATGAAAAATGCAAAGCATCTGCATAATAAAGCTCCATTAGCCGTCAGTGCTCTCAATGAACACTGGGTTATTTTGTGTTGACTGTGTATTTGTCCCTTGAGTTTAAATGATTTGCGAATACATTTAAAGCACAGAGTGTGTCCGTGTCCTCTGTCTGGAGACCTCTGGCCTATCAGCATGATCACATTGATGGTGACTTACCCAGGGGCACAAACTTCAAATAATAGCAAATAGGGAAGGAAAACGAGGAATGAATATGGGCTCCATGGCAACAGTGAAACCCTTTGAGATTCTTCCAGATCTTTCTGTAAGCATCTGATAGTTACCTGGAGAGAATTTTCAGCTCATCAAATGTATACTTTATGACCTCGGGATTGACGAGAGCATAAATTGAGAGCTATCCAGTAGAAGTTGAAGGGAACATAGTTAGCAGCACTCAAAAAGGAAGAAACTGTGTTTATACATGTAGTTAGGTTCAGAGCTGTAGATAAATAAAATAACTGCATTCAGAATTTGTTCATGTGTTTCATTACCTTATTATCTTAGTGAATTGGGCGGCAAAACTATGCAAATATCATGTGCAAGTAAATGCTGCTATCAGTGTGTGTGATTCTAAGTGAAATCTCCCTAAAGTCTGTGTTTCTTTGACTGTTGCATTTCTACAGTCTAGCAGGCACAGTTTGTCACTCTTCTGCCAGATGTGGTGTATTTGGGGAAACATATGCTCCATTGTAGTTTAGGTCTGATTTGATGGTGTTCTATTAGGCTGTGATGGCCAAACCGGGACTTCTCTGAGGCTTTGCCATGTGGCCACTCGGCACAGGCTTCCCCTGTGGAAGGACTATATCTGGAAGACGCCTAAGGTGTCCTGTGCAGTGACTCTTTGCCCTAAAACAGCCAGATGGCCTAAACCATCCATTGTTTTTCTCCTTTTCTTCCTTCTGTCTGTGACATTTTTTTGTCTATTTCCTTTTCCCCAGCATGTATCGTTTTCTAAACTTTTTTACAAACATTGTCACTATGAACACCCTAAACGCTAAAACACTGCATTGTTTTTAGCTCAAATAATACACATTCAGTTACATTAAAAGAAAAGGAGGGATGAGTCGAAATGACTTTTTGTGGAAAAAAAAAACATTATTCCATAAGTGCTTGACTTGTATTGATTGAGTTTAACTTGTAATGAATCCAGAAACTTCTTTTAACTTACATGTAGCCAGTTCGCTCTAAATCCCCCTGAATAGGCCTGAACAGACCAGCGTGCTATTTTCATACATCCTACCGATAAGTGCACACGGCTGATTTCCTCTCCTTATCCCTTCACTGAGTTCATTGTTCATGTGGCCGTGTAGAAAGACTTCACTTCTATGTCCCTGTTGTAATGAGAGAGAATGGCTGCAAGAGCCCCAATGTGACTTACTCTGGCACTGTATTGTTGCGTTTGTACATTCATGAGATGTGACTTAAATGGGTGAGTCGCACTGTTATTAATGTTTTACTTCTTTCCCCACCTTTTAAAAACGGTCCGTCCGTCATGAAAGGAAAAAGAGCATGAATGAGATTTGTGGTAAAACATGGCAGTTACATTGGAATACACTTTGTAATCACTCGCTATAGATCTTATTGCGCAGTAGTCAACTAACTCAACTGACTTAGGGTTATTGGAGTCAAAAGAAAAAAATCCCTCAGTGTTTATTAATGAACAGTCTCAATGTGAATAGACGAGGAAAGAGTTAGGCTGGTTAAGTTTGTGACATGTTGATGGCATAGACTTTAGAAATGGGATGTGGGTGCACAAAATATGGGACTTTATTTGGAAGGAAGGGATGGGGGAGAACAATTTTCACTGATGTCAGCAATTGAAGGAGCCTCAGTGGAAATCAGCATGGGCCATTGCTTTTTGGTTGTGGAGCGTCATGCCAGCAGCGCTACTAGTTGTGTGGAAAAGTATGATTGTGGGTAAAGTAAACGGGAAGAAAGGAAGAGGAGAGGCAAAAAAGTGTTACAAGCTGCTGATAGACCATTTTGGTGCTCTGTGTGGCAGGATGGACCAAGTTTGCCAGGCTTACCAGGGCATTAACCAATAGCCGGGGGACACTTCAGCAGCTCACGCCTATGAACAAGACTGAAGTCAGCCACAAGCATTCACGACTGGCAGAGGTGAGTGTCACGCAAAAAAACACAACAAAAAAACGCTTTCCATTTACTTTAATTCTGAGCTAATGACATTTTAAGACCCTTAACAATAAACTTGGCCTTTTTGCAACGCATTCTCATCCCAAGGCATCATCTTACTGACAATTTTGACCATGCTTCAACATCCGACGCTTTAGGCACCCTTTAGCTTCAGTTTCATGACGTGATCCTAGGGCGTCATCTCACTGACGCTTTACCTTTAGCGTCACTTAGATGACATGGGTAGGTTTAGGTCTGGGGTAGGGGTAGGGTTAGACGCGATCCTAGGGCGACGCGATCCATCTAACCGACGCTAAAGGTTGCCTAAAGCGTCGGATATTGAAGCATGGTCAAAATGCTTCCCAAGGCGTCAGTTAGATGACGCCTTGGGATTGCATTTTTATATTTTCATTAAAACTGCATTAAGTTTTTTCCTTGCTTGGACCTTTGAGTGGTCATGATTTATGGCTGATTTTCATTACTTTCATTACTCATTATCTGGGCCTCACAATGTCTGAAAAACCTGACCCACACACATATAATCTATATGCACATGCAAAAAGGTCAGCTGTCTGTGTCTTAAGTCCTGCATTGCAGAAATAAAGTCTGACTTCATTTCCAGAAAAAAATGATTGTTGACTCAGCTGTTAGCTGCTGACGTAAGCTTTATGTCTCTAAAACTTGGGTGTATTATATAGGTTCCCTTACAACATGAATAGCCTTTTAATTCATGAGTTACAGTATAGTATATATTCCTTACGGTGCATAATTTTGACAGTGAAAAGACCAGCTTTTCTTTTTGTAGTGGTTTTGCTGCACTGCAAAAAAAAAAAAAAAAAATCCTAGTCTTATTTTCTAATTATAAATACAGACAGAAATCCTTAATACAAAATCAATTGGCTTTATATGGTAAGATTTCTTTTTGCGCCATTGTTTTAAGCAAAATTCTAACTAAAATTGATTGAGGTTTAATTACTGAGGTTTAATAACTATAATAACTACTGTATATTAGTGTTCACACCAACAGGCGATAATATTCTGTTTATTGTAGTCATCCACTGCAGTTTGTTGTCTCCCACTTAAATGCTCAAACTCTTTTTTTGGAGTGATTGGCTGATTGGCTGTCAATGTTTTTATTGTTCATCAGCTGGAAAAAAAATTCTAAAAGTGATTCCAAAGATATCATTATTCTGTGTCATTATAGTTTTGGTGTTGATATCGCTATTCTCATAACTAGTTTATAGTAATCTTATAGTGATTGTCACCGTCCTTGGTGTGTGCAGGCCATTATGGTTCAATCAGCAAAAAAAGTATGCAAATAAATGTATCTTGTTTTAGGGATGTTTGCATTTGTTTACTTACAAACAAAGCAAAAATAATGAGGAGAAAATCCAGGTGGGCCCACATAGCATAATAATGTTAGGCTTAAGTCAAGCAGTTAAGAAACCATGTGGTGACACCGAAACATTAAAATTCCATTTAAAACATATGCTGGTGACTAAAAAACTCATAACCTGACCCCTTTTTCATCTCTCTCTCTCTCTCTCTCTCTCTCTCTCTCTCTCTCTCTCTCTCTCTCTCTCTCTCTCTCTCTCTCTCTCTCTCTCTCTCTCTCTCTCTCTCTCTCTCTCATTTTCTGAATTAACTCATTCAGTTTCTGTCTTATTCAGGCTCTTCAGCTGGGCTCTGACATCCTCCCTCAATATAAGCAAGAGGCTCCTAAAACTCCACCTCACATTATATTGCACTACTGCACCTTTAAGACCACATGGGACTGGGTCATCCTCATCCTCACCTTCTACACAGCCATCATGGTGCCCTATAATGTGTCATTTAAGACCAAACAGAACAACCTGGTGTGGTTGGTACTGGACAGCGTGGTGGATGTCATCTTCCTAGTGGATATTGTGTTGAACTTTCATACAACTTTTGTGGGACCTGGAGGAGAGGTCATATCTGACCCAAAGCTCATACGGATGAACTACTTGAAGACCTGGTTTGTCATAGACCTGCTGTCTTGCCTGCCCTATGACATCATCAATGCCTTTGAAAATGTGGATGAGGTAAGCTCATGTTTTTATTAAAGCAATATTAAGTGATCATTTAAATACAAATTCAGTATTAATAATAATAATCACACACGCACACATACACATACATATTCAGCAAGGACATAAAATGGATCAAAAGTGACTGTAAAACTTAAAAAACAAACAAACAAAAAATAAAATCAATGCTGTTCATTTTAACTGTGCTTTAAAGAATGTTAAAAACAAACCCATCGTGGTTTCAACAAAAATATTAAGCAGCACAACTGTTTTCACCATTGATAATAATAAGACATGTTTCTTGAGCACCAAACCAAAATATTTGAATGATTTGACAACAGCGACATAATTTCGTCATATATAACAAATCATTCAATCAGTCAAAGGAGTCATTAATGGAACTGTTAAGGAATCCCAATCCGAATCATTACCAGATAGGTTAAATTCCTAATGATTCCCATATTGTATACTCTGATTCACATTCGTTTGGAGAGGATATATGAATTATGTGATTCTGTTTCATCTGCATAGATTTGCTTTTAAGTTGTTGGTCTCTGCTGTGATAATGACTTAACTAAATACTTTAGCAACATGATGATTTGACTTTAAGACTTTGAAACAATTTACTCAATGTGCATTATGTCTTTCATCCAAATTACTGCCAAATTAAAATCTTTTGTTTACAGTAAACGTACATCAGATGTAACATATCTGATTGTTCTCATATGACCAATTGCGGTCAATAATCTTTCATCATCTTTACTTTTATTAGCTTTGGTCTCATGTTAATGAAGTATTCCAATCAAGTTTTCTGTCCTTAGCTCTTCTGTGCTCGCATTATAATTTATCTTACTCCATGTTGCTAAAGTTGGTTATTATTTATCTGTGGTTCTTGTTTGTGGTAATTACTGTTTGCACAGGACTTCTCCAGCATACATTTCCATCTCTTACTGAGAAGAAACGAATGCAGATTTTGTTTTTCTGTCTTTCACTTGGACGAGCAGTGCTGCTGAATGCGTGCTTTTGTGCATGTCAGTAATGCTTTATTTTTCTCACCGAATGGGATTAGAGTTTTAGTGGGCGACTCCTCAACATTTCTAGTGGCTGAAGCTCTGACGTGAAAACTATATCCATTATTGCCATCTCTTTCCTTGTCAGTGGCTGCTCAATGTACTGGGCATTAGCCTACCCACCCAGACAGTTCAGTGATAAGTGAGCTGGTTGAATCCTGGAGTCTGAAGACATTTTGAGAAATTAAGTTTTCAGTGATTTATTATTTGTTCTTTGAATGGAATGGAAATATTAAATGGGTTCGGTTACCGACTTTCTTGAAAATATCTTATTTTGTGAAATAAAGTCATATAGGTTTTAGAAAGACATGAGTGATTAAATTATCTATCCCTTTACATGTTCTTGAAGTAAATAATAGTGTACTACTGTGATAAACTACACCTGTATTTTGAGTGTAAAGCACTTCCAAGGCTCTTTTGTACTTCTGTGAATTTGGAGTTCTTCTGCAGGACCTTTTGAAGGATTTTACCCACCATATTTTTTAATGTGTCCTGTCTGGAGGCATAAGTCCAGCTAATATGAGAGTGCTGTGAAGGAAGTGATCATCCGAAAAACTTTAAATGGGCACAGGCGTCCTAATGGATGTAGGTTGAATTGGTCGACTGTGGACATTCAGAATAAAATATGATTCTCCTTTAAGCTTCTTTACATTATTCATCTCCATATGCATGGTATGATATGATATATTTATCCAATAAAATACCATACCTATTCAGCTTCCTACTGGTGCCCATAAGTTCATGGTTGCCCAGGCAACAGGCATCCTCTCCCATTGTGGTGATGTTGTTGGAATGCATTAGTCTCTGCATCATTGGAACACAATGAAGTCCCAAAACTGCCCTGATCTCAGTGAAGTGTTCCTGTGTCATCTGGGACTGAGCAGGCACTGCTCTGTCACTCTTGATATGGTTGAAATCTGCATGGACAGTTTAGCTAAGGTTACATCTCTGATACTTGGTCTGTAGTTAAAATAGGGGAGATTAAATGTTTGTTTGTGCGGCTGCTTTGTTTACTTAAGCTTAGTGATAAATCTGTGAACTAATATTAGGCTTTTAATGAGTTGGTATTGAGCTATACAGCGGGAATGTTTGGGTTTTATGTTCAATAGGTTTTGGGATTTTTTTTTAGTTTATCATAATTTTTGGAATATAATTAAATCCAAAGAAATCCACTCAAGCTTAAAATCAAACAAAATTACAGTCACTTGTCTGTTGTAATCTTTGAAGTGGAAGACGTTGTTAAATAACAATTTTCCATAAATATACTGTTTGCAAATTTCAGAGCCCATGCTATTCTCGCACCTTATGTCATTATTTTGTCATAAAACAGCCACCAGTTATTAAAAAGTTATGATTTGAGCGTTAGACCCCCGCCCCATAAATCAATAAGCTGAGGTGAAAAACTTGTAATGTTATATCAAAGACGTTTTTAATTTTATTTCATTGAGCAATATAGCAACTCAATACTGCAAAAAATGGTTCCCTTTCGTTCGGGAACTCCTTGTCTCGTTGGGATCACACTAGGGAGACCAATTGCCTTCAAGTGAATTAAAACAAGCCAATGAATATTGGCATGCATTCCGCACTCTGCCTGCCATTGCGGGTATGAAGCGGAAGTGAGCGCACACATTCCTGGTAGCTGGAATTTCTGGTCCTTCTCATGAGGGACCAGCTATTTCATTCGGGGCTCCAGGGGAGGATCAGTTGTCGATTGCTGCATCGGAGAGAGGGCCGTGATGCCCATTTCGGTTGCTTCTTTTACTTGGTCTTCCATGAGTACGACCAAAGGAGAAACCACAATGACAACTGGGCTTTCATTGCGTCCCATCTTCTTAGCGACCATCGGAGCCAGCTGATAAATTAAACTTTGGCCAAATCCTGTAGAAAGGACGGCAAACACATCTTGACGATCGACAATAAATGTCTTTATTGCAGTTCTCTGTTTGTCCTTTAAAATGAGTGCGCTGTCGATTTCTTTTAAAACAGATTCGATAGCGGAATCTATACATCTAATTTCTCCAACTGCAGTCATCCCTGTTGTAAACCAGTTTAAGCCAAGCGCTCTTTGATGACGTGATGATTATGCAGATCATCTGTCCATCATCTTATAAAGCCCGCCCTGGCATTTGGATTGGTCCAACCATTTTTTTACTGATCATAATTACTCCTCAATGGATCGAGTCCAGACCAAACTTCCCGACCAAAAAATTTTATAGGCGGGGTTCGGGCTGGCATCCAGGCTAGCAGCAACCGGCAGCAACAAAGAATCACAAATGGCAGTTGCGTAGTAATATTAATGTAAAGCGGTCACAGGTGTATGTTTGTTGAGTAATTTACAACGTCTTTGTATGCGGCTAAACTAGATCAGAATCAAGGACCGGAACTATTCGTTTTGAAAAATTTGATTGATCAAACTCAAAAGCATTAGGTAATTTAGGGAGGGAATAAAAGAAATTTTGAGTTAAACATCATATGCCAATGTGTTTGTATTGTGAGAATACATTTACCAGCAGAGAGTGTTTTTATGAAAGCTGATGGTCTCTGACACAGCTGTTGTTGAAATGTCATACCCAGTTTTTTCAGCTGACCCCCAATGAATTCTGTTTTGTTTCCCAAACCTGAAACAAACCACAATCTCAACAGGACACTTGTTGAGCTGGCAGACGTTATTGCTAGATGCCCACTGAGCCTTGAAAACAGAGGTTTGTTCTCAAAGACGGTTTTGAGAATGGCAGTGCATTTTTATCAACACTAACAACACTATTATTTAAGAATCTGTTTTATTCGATTTTAAATTACAAAAATACTGACTGAAGAATTACGTGCTGTTTATTATATACTCTTAAATGCCTTTGAAACTTTATCAGAACAGAAAACTTGTGATGTCACTAACAATAAGAAATATCTGCTCATAATAATAATAATACATTTCTGCTCATAATAAAATGCTGCAAAGTGTGTTATAAATATTTGAAGGCACAGGCAGTTGACGTAGGGCGACTGTCTGTCATGGGGATTGATGTGCAGCTGTCAGATGTTTTCCTATGAGCTGGAGCCTGTTCTGCCTTTGTGTCCCCTGTGGACCACATGTCCCTGTCTATGGCTATTCTGGTCTCTTGACTTGTGTTATAAAATACTTGCTCTTTTTCTGCATATATAATAGGGATATATATTATAAATGAAATTTCTAACTCACCCTCATCATATATATATATATATACACATACATATAAATATATATATATTGGGGCTTGGCAGTCACAATATACTTGATCACTATTAGTTTTATTGTTTTTATAGAATGGAAAAGAGCAATATGCACATTCTGATATGTCAGTGTCATTTGACATCAATTGATGTATACACCTATCCACTAATGTATACACTAATATATATATATATATATATATATATATATAATTTCACACTATCCATTGTTCAGAAGGTGTATACATCAATTGTTGTCATATGACACTTGTTATATAACGTTTGTGTTTTTTTTTAGTGTTTTGATTTGCTTACAGCTGCTGTTCTGTACTAATTACTTTGACACATTCAATGTGCTGCTGTCCAGATCTAATATTTGTTAATGGGTCTCTTGAATCCTGAAGTCCATCTCTGAGCATATTACATGCATGCGCCAGTGCAGTTTGGCGTGATGCGAAACGTCTGCCTCTGTCTTTCTGACTTAGGATCCCATTGTAGACTCTTCTGCGGTGAGCCACTTGCCAGCTACAGCCCACTCTTCACGCAACGCCACACGTGCGGAGGACTCGGTGTTGCCTGTAAGTTCGCACCCCTTTCTTGTGTTGTTTATGGCCCTTCTGCACCATTTTCTAATTTGTACTGCAGTTCAGTAACCTCTCCCCTATTCAATGTTGAGCAGAGATGCACTAATGGCTCTCTAATTTATGCTAATGTTCTCTGAATGCTGCACCCCTTAGTGTGTTTGTTTATCTAAAGCGATTTTAGATGCAAGTCAATTCAAATTAGATGGTCCAAGCTTCATTCTCCATGCCCTGACACACACAACCACACACAACATGTTTCACCAATAGGCTTTAATGTTTCTCTTCCATTATCCCATGTTTACATCTATGGGGTCATCACGTCTAACTGAACATTTATGACACACATTTAACACACATAACCTTTTAATGTTCACACCGCTATTCATCTGTTTGGCCTTAAAGACAAAGACAAAAAAACTTTAAGGTTTACTAAATGCTACATAAGCACAGTTGCAAATTAGATATAGGCCCTCAAAATGATAAATTGCTTGTAAAAGTATCCATTAGGAGCTGCTCTGCCTGGGGAGTTGACTGTGTTGGCAAAATTAGCATCGTTTTTTTTTTTGCTAGCGTAATAAAAGCCTTAGGTTTTCATGCAATATTGCAGAATGAACACATCTATTTTTACCTTCCTTCCTCCGTGTCTAGGGAAAATTGCTCCTTTCAGGAACATAAAGCATGTTTGAAAATTAGCCTTTTGATTATGTGACGGCTGGAACAAAAAAGCAGAATTCCTCAGTGGAGGAAATGCTAATTAAACCTGTGAGGTACATATCACGGTCACTATTTATAAACAGTTCTGGGCTGACAGTCCAAAGCTGTTGAGGATGCAACAATTAGGTATACTTACTTCTCACCCCCTCATTTTCACTCTGCCTGCTTAAAAAGTGAATTCCATCCAGTGTCTGGAGAGAACGTGTTGTTCCACTTTTTCCCAGTTGTCCTCTGAAAGACAGAATACATTTGACTGAAACATGTAGGATCAATTACAAAGTTCTATACGTACTCTGCTCTCTCATGTTTATTCAATATTTAATTCACATTTATTAATGCTTATTATTAAAGTTATTGAATTTATATAATTGTTTGGATATCTTAAAATGGATATCCATTTTTTTGTTCTACATTATGAAGTTGTGAAGCTTAAATTCAGTTGTAGCATTTAAGTCAGTTTTAGTATTTAGCATTTTACCATTTAAGTACTTTTTTTTAAGTTTTTCTTATTTATGCAATATAGTGCAGATTTTTTTTATGTTGGATATTCATTGGTTATTGGCCATAAAATAAATATCTATAGATTCTAGAGGGCACAAGCTGAGGTGCTGGCATAAGCTGATTGGCCTCTGCCGATCCTGCAACCAATGAGATTGCTTGTTACATATCAGAGTTCCTCTAAAACCCTCCACCTCCCCCCAGTTTATTTATGCAGCAACAGCACTTCTCAAATGCTCACAGCAACGTGTCTTTGAATCTACCATACCGGTAGTACTGGTACCAGTCTGTACTAGAAAAAAAAAGTTAAAGCTGCAGTTTGGGGTTAAAAATGTCATCCAAAATACATATTTGAGAAAATACATAACCAGCCAATGTTCAACGGTATCAACGGTATCTCAAAGAGGAAAAAATGCGGACTGCAGCTTTAACTCTAACAACATTTCTTCAGTACTGGTAGTACTGAGTGCCAGGTCTATTTGGTACACGCTGATAGACGCTGCTTTCAAATGCTCTCGTCCACGTTTGTTTGAGCGCTCTCTGAGTGTCAAAGGTTTCTATATTTACACTGTGTTTTAATAAGTTTGAGCATTGCAGCCAATCTCAGTCATATCTGTTGAGCGCATTAACGCAAGTTTGTTCAACTTGAGCTGCATGTGTGGGGATCCTTGCATTACAACCAACAAAGTGTAAACACGGTGTAAATACTGTGAGACTTTCATTGTACAATTAAGACAGCTTTTTTTATTATAACGGGTGTTTTCGCGAAAGTAAAAAATTCAGTGAGCTTGCGATTTAGAGATTGTCAGCCTTAGTGATAATAAAGGGATAGCTATGCTCTTGCTTTCTTTTTATTACCCATTCACAATCTGAATACAAGTTTAGTTTTTGATGCCACTAAGTACACTGCAAAGTTTCTGGATTGAAAACTGTATTTTAATGAATGATTGAATCGTAAACTGCCAAGATTGACAGTGATAACCACGGCATGAGGGTGAGTCATTTAATGACATAATTTTCATTTTTGGGTGAACTAATCCTTTGATGCTTTATTTGTGTACATAAAGAAAACTCTAACAAATATATGTTAATCAGAGTGTTTTTTTCTTTTCTTCTTTCTTTAAAGACCTATAATCTTCATTGGCCTGAAGTTGACAAGCAATGTTTAAGCTTTTGTTAAAAGGAATACAGTGCAAGTGTGGGTGTAGCTGAGTGAAAGCATCCTCTTTATTTTGCTTTCAGAGCCAAAAAGACTATATTTATATCACCCTTTAATGACAAAGACTAGACAACATAAATCCAAACTATTAGCTGTTATCTTTCATAAGCTTAAAAGAATTTGCCTGATCAATAAAACAGCTTTGTTCACTCATGAGATCCAAGATTCTCTTTGAATGTGCCCTGTGGAGTTGTAGGATCAGTCAAGGAACCTAGCTATCCATTTTCTCCTGCTTCTCTGACCTGAAAGGTGTCTGATCAAAGTGGCTATAGGCTGAAAGAGCAGGTCTCTGGTGCTATATGACACCCATCAACATGGAATTATTCATGTTCAAGTGAACATGGAAGATCTTACTTTGAAATCCACACCTGGCTTTTTAAAGTCATGATCTGTATTATTTAAGCCTTTCAAGTGTGCCTTATGAATATAAGCCTATTTATATGTGCCTACATACATACTACTATATGTTTATCTTTAGGCTTTTTTTTAAAAACCCAGATTGTTGTTTTTTTCAGTCTGATATTTTTATGTTGCACACATATGCATATAATCTTCCAAACCTGTGCAAAAATGTGTTGCATATCCACCTTGTTCCTATGAAGGACAATTGGCAGCTCATCCAGACGGATCAGCTTTATTTGTAGGGCAACCTTATGATTTGAAATTCTTTTCAGCCTTTTTGATTGGAAGTTCCCCAAACCAGAAGTGCCACTCATAATTCATAACGCAGTAAGGTCGTCAGGAATAAGGTGGATAAGTAAAATGTAAAAAAGTTCATAATGCTTTTTTTTTTGCATTGATCTATTCATTTATTTAAAAATACATAAATGTATTTTGCTACAAACAATGACTTGAATACAACTCTTCTAAAAAATAACATCATTCATTTTTAAATTAAAATTTATTTGAATAATTTTTAGAGGCATTTAGTCAAAAATAAGAGGCATATTACTATTAATAATAACCCATGTATTATAATGAAAAAAGTAAAATACTTGCAAAAGTAAAGTTGGCTAGTTTAAGTTAGTTATTTTATTATTGTTTCTTTAAACAATATTATTATTACATTTCATTAATTTATTATTATTATTATTATTAAATATGATAAAATATTTGTGTGCCAAAGTCATTTGATGAGACCAGTGTGTAACATGCGGGGAAAACATAAAACATACAAATATATAGAGAACCTGCAGACCCTGTCATTTCATGAAATAAATTCCATGTACACCCACCGAAATATATAATATTCATGAATTAATGGTTCATATTTTGTGAAAGAAAAGTAGCTTTTGAAATTTATGATTAAGGTGTGCACACTTGCATGTATTCATTGCAGATCTTCTTAGTCTTACTTGGGTGTTATTTTTTCTTTTGTCTGTATAGATCAGCTAGTTTTAACATGTTCTTACCATCTCTCTTTTTCTTTGTCAGGGTCTCAGCAGCCTGTTCAGCTCATTGAAAGTGGTGCGTTTACTCCGCCTGGGTCGAGTGGCACGTAAACTGGACCATTATCTGGAATACGGTGCTGCTGTATTAGTTTTACTGGTGTGTGTCTTTGGCCTGGTGGCACATTGGCTGGCCTGCATCTGGTACAGCATTGGAGATTACGAGGTCATCGATGAGGCCACCAACAGCATCAAGACGGACAGCTGGCTTTATCAGTTAGCTAACAGCATTGGCATGCCATACCGCTACAATGCCAGCGGTTCTGGCCAGTGGGAGGGTGGTCCCAGTAAGCACACTCTCTACATATCATCACTCTATTTCACCATGACAAGTCTCACCACCATTGGCTTCGGGAACATTGCACCAACTACAGACGGGGAGAAGATCTTCTCTGTGGCCATGATGATGGTGGGCTGTAAGTAACACTAAATGGTTTCCTTGCTTTCATGCTTCATCAGAAACTTGGTTAAGGCATGGACATTCACAATATCTTGGCTGTCGTACCGGTTACTGGCCAAAATTAGAGATGTTTTGGGTAATGCTCAATTGGACATGGTAATTTTTGATTGCATTTACCATCTGCTAACACTCACTTAAATTTAATGTTTAAAACTTTAAAGCTGCAGTCCGTAACTTTTTGTGTTTAAAACTAGAGTACATCAGCGAGTACATCATGAATCCATTTTCCAAACCTGGTTTTTGTATTATCCTTAATCACTATGGTACTCCTATAATTCGTGTTTTATGTTCGGACAAATTTGGACCGGTCGGGTCGTACCACTGTGGAGTAGCAAAGTACGTGTGTGACTCGTCATAGACATAAACAGAGAGCATAAACATAAACTCCTGCTACAATGTTCTTCCGTAAGACTCACGCAGTTTATTAAGCGCTAGAGCGCCAACAGTTACGGACTGCTGCTTTAACAAAGGAATATCCATTTTCCATACTGTACATTGGGATAAAATAAATATAAAATACACCCAAATTTAAATATTCTGTATAAAATAGCATTAAAAATAACTTATTTTAGTTTTTAATGTTTTATTTTGTACTTATTTAGATAAAATAGTGAATCAGCGCATTCTGTACGGTTTAAAGGGTTAGTTCACCCAAAAATGAAAATTAAGTCATTAATTACTTACCCCCATGCTGTACCAACCCCGTAAGACCTTTGTTCGTCTTCGGAACACAAATGAAGATATTTTTGATTAAATTTGAGAGCTGTATAACTACCACATTGGCTCCTAAGGGACTGCCTCTTGACGGCCCAAAAAGTCAATGAAGAAAATGTTTAAATATCCCAAGTGACTACCGTGGCTCAACTATATGTTTATCAAGCGACGCGAATACTTTTTGTGCGAAAAAACAAACAAAAATAACGAGTTTATTCGACTATTTCTTTTCTTCCTTGTAGGCCAGAACGAGACTTCCTTATAGATTTCCACGACGCATGCGCGAGAATTGCGATCTGAAGTAGTGAAGCTGGCGTAAGCAGATCGCAAATCTCGCGCATGCGTCGTGGAAATCTAAGGAATTCTCGTTCTGGCCTACAAGGAAGAAAAGAAATAGTCAAATAAACTCGTTATTTTTGTTTGTTTTTTCGCACAAAAAGTATTCGCGTCGCTTGATAAACATATAGTTGAGCCACGGTAGTCACTTGGGATATTTAAACATTTTCTTCATTGACTTTCTGGGCCGTCAAGAGGCAGTCCCTTAGGAGCCAATGTGGTAGTTATACAGCTCTCAAATTTAATCAAAAATATCTTTATTTGTGTTCCGAAGACGAACGAAGGTCTTACGGGGTTGGTACAGCATGGGGGTGAGTAATTAATGACTTAATTTTCATTTTTGGGTGAACTAACCCTTTAAGCTAATCTTCTCAGTTGGGAATATGCTCACCAATCCGCGCATGTCAGCAAACTTTAAGTGGAATTGAAAAGCATTGCAGACACATCGATCGGCATCATATAGTTTGATATAAAATCATTTTCTGCCCTTGCAGGATTTCTGTTTAGAAAAACATTTGCATCATCTCCTAATATGGCCTGCGATGCATCATTTCCTGAAATTCTCTCTCTAAGATGCTATACTGCGCATTTGATCAAAAATGAATAAGCTTGTGTAGGCTTTTTTCAGACTAACACCGCACTTTGCTCTTCGTCACCTAATCACTTGCTGTTGTCTTCAGAGTTCTCCAAGGATCCAAAGTACTGTAGTGGTGCATGTCAGCTTTTGAGTTACAGAGAGCAGTTCCATCAGTTTAGAGATTCACGGGTCTAACAGATAGCATGAGACACAGTAAAGCTGTGACTAGGTTTTGCCTGAGATGGCGAGTGTTAGGCAGCCAGATTAATACATCATTTAGGAAGAGACATATTGTGCAATACTTCTGACAAATTAAATGGCACTACCTTCTATACCAGTTTAAGATGCAGAGACAACAGAGTCAGCCTTTTTCAAAACATCACTGTATAAAAAATATATTGACTACTGTAGTAATAATTCTTTATTCATGTTCTGTGATATTTATTAGTCATGATGCGTTTTTGGTTGGAAACATCATGGTACCTGGTCTCCCTTGTTTATTGTCGCAGCTCTTTACAATACAGCGAACACCTATGATTGTAAACTATGCTTTTACTATCTAATAATCGCTGACTCCACGGGAAGTATCTCGTTGTAGTCCCGTTCAAGTAGTTTTTGTAGGCATTAAACTTCCTGATTTTTAAAAGGGCAATATCTCTGCTTACGTTGAACTTTCAGCACAGCAACTTTGCAGATACTGTTCATGCACCAACAGCAACATTACACACTATTTAAAATGAAAAAGGTGAAATCGCAATCAACCACCTCTTTAAGCTACTATACACAATATTACAGTTACTAGAAGAAATCAAAGATGACACTGACTCTCCGACTCAGCGTTCACATTCCATTCCAGCACTTGTTAAACTCCTCGCTACATCACAATTATTGGTATCAGGATCATTTCAAACAGTCATAGCATCAGCAGTGGGAATATCCAACACAGTCTCATGAAAGTGTGTATCTATACCACGATTGTCATTTCTCGTGGCATTTATGCACCAAAAATGGTTTTTGAGTGCATATGCTACACACTGAAAACCCCCTGGGTATAGGTTTAGGGGGAAGGGGAGTGGGGAGTTTGTACTATAGATACGAATAGATACGAATTTGTGCTATAGATATACGAATTTTCATGAGATCGGGCTTGAATATCGCAGTCTGCACTCAGCCGTATAGACCATTTCACAAGATGTAAACAACACTGGTCCAGAAGCACTTCCTGTTTCAGTTTTTTAACACTACATAAAAGCTGGGATAAAATACAACCAACAGAACATTTAAAACTGAATCAAGAATTTAAACAAACATCTTTAAGATGTTTTCTTTACATGTGAAATAAAGAAAACAGTTACAAACTGAAACAGGAAGTGTTTCTGGACCAGTGTTGTTTACATCTTGTGAAATGGTCTATAGTACAAGCATTTGACGCGCGCAATTTACTGTATAGTGGGTGGGGACAGGCGCTGATTACCTGATAAATTGTAGAATTCTCACATAACACCCACACTGCGATTTCACATCAAGCACTTTCTGCGTCTTGGCCATGGTGTATTGACGCTGCTTTCGCAAATGTACGTACATCATTCTGGCCCTCAGTGAGTGTAACCAGTAGCGCAGAAATTACATGCTTCAGCTTTAAAGTTTTAATTAGAAAGCTGACTAAAGGTAGTTTAATTTGGCAGACTAGCTTATAAAGCACAGCTGGCTTCAGATCAGATTTAGCGGTAGTGAGCCGCAGTGTTAATCATTTCCTGATGTTTAGTAGTCCATTGCTTGCTGTTGGTTTATTGCTTGGTTGTTATTGAGTTTCTTGTCATAGCCTACTTCTCTATATGAACACAAATGACAGCAGATGGGGAGAAAGTATTGTGTTTGTGGATTTATCTCACAGTGCTACAATATGGTGCATTGCGTGGTATTCTGTTTGTACTACATGAGCCAAATCCTATACTAAATTGTGATGAAGCAGGCATTTTGCATTAATGAACCATATCAATTCATAAAGACCAGCAGATTTACACAAACTGAGTTTAATTGCCTGTTCGCAGAGTCTTATTTGGGCTAATCACGGACATGTGGATGTACTTTTTCTGAGGTCTTGTAGAATAAATGTTTAATGCATGGTATGAATGGGACTGGATTTATATTAGATCTGTGGAATTACCATTAGACTAATCACCATGGCAAAGCCAGCTGTGCTGATCCAGCCCTTTTTATTTAAGTGAAACAGAGCTTAGAGTTTAGACTCTTGTTCTTCTCCTTTGTTGCATAAATCTTCTTTATTCTTCTATTTAAAAATTGAAATCCTGGGCTTCTAGGCTTGCTATAGGTTTTATGTATCTTTGTGGGTCTGAGAGAGATCAATTAGGACTGCCAATTGCTGCCCTTAAAGGGACAGTTCATCCATCATTACTCGTGTTGTTCCAATATGACATTTATTCTATGGATTTATTCTATGGTTATATTCACTGCATATGTTCACTTCCAGTGAGATCTTGTCTTGAAAATTTTGTTCATTCATTAGAACTCTGAATAATGAATAAGTCAATCACTCAAAAATTTTGACTCTGATTCTGAATTATTATTTTAATATGCATTATGCGTTTGTATTTATTCATGAAAAATGCTGGCGATGGCTGACAACTTAAAAAAAAAGAAAAGAAAACGCTGGCGGGGAAAGAATTAAGCTGATTTTATTTCAGTTATTTCTAAATTCCTCATATTTATATTATATTTTATATTATATTTTATTTCAGCGTTAAACAAAAATGATTTGTAATACAATACAATTCTAAAGAATCAGTTCTTTGAAAAGAAGCAGCTCTAAAGTATGATTTATTCACTAATCCAGCAGCTCTCGAGTCATTTTTGCTCACTATAAGCTATTGTTATATGTAAAAGTGTTCTGTTTCAGTCATTTTCCATTTGTGTTCTGCTGGAAAACAAAATAACATCAAATGGGTTTGGAATCACATGAGGGTGAGAAGATTATAGGATTTTCATTTTTTTTTAAGTGAACTATTTCTTTAAGACCTGTCTGAACTGATTAATAAAACATACATTACATAACAAATTGTCCGGTCTACATCTCCCTCTCTTTACCTCATGCACTCAAGCATGTTACCTCAGGGTGTAAGACACATAGACGACTGTAGTTCAGAAGAATCCAAGCAGCACAACATTTTAATACTGTCGGTATAAGAGCTATGGTGGATGCTGACTAAGGACATTAATGCTCTGTGTATCAGGACTCCTTAAAGCCACACTGTCATGTGACCACTGTCTTATAGGCCTGAATCTACCGATACCTTTGGCAGTGACCAGAGTGCTACTG